CAGATATAGAACAGCAAAATTAAAACAGTTACGTAGTTCTATAACTTGATGAAATGTGAATCAGTTAATTCAATTCACTACTTCAGAATTGTACTTAAACTTACAAAAGAGAATGTGGAAGCATGAAAGAGAAGAAAGACATGTCTTATGCTTGTGAAAAGCTATGAAAATGTTCCAATCCTAGTGAGTTATTTTAGTGTCATGTTATAAATATATTTTATGGAGCATCAATAAGCAAAAAAGGACAGCTTCCTTCTGGATAGTGGTAAACTGTATTTCAGAACTTCCTGTGCTTCCTGGGGGGACAGTTTGACTGCTTGTTGAAGCAACAGCCTAAATTCTACAGCTTTAAACTCCTTAAAACAAACGAATTAAAGCTCAGTATATTTCAGGTGTGCTAGCAATAAATTCAATTTTCCTTCATATAATTAGAGTGTAATTTGCAATAGTTCAATCGTTGTCGATTGAGCTTCTCAGGAGTCCGGAAGAAGTTCATAACAGGCAGCAGAGGGTGGGTGCCTTCAGGCCTTGGATGACAAAGCTTGTGGTACTCTGTATAAGTCCAAGTTAGAGAAATCATCTGCTATATTTTTTTTTTCCTTGACAAGGTATCAAAATTCACTATCAGCACAAATACCTGAGTAGGCACCGGTAGATAAACAAGTTGGAACAATTTGGATTTAGTGGCCAATATTGCTGCAGTTTTGATGATGTCCCCAGGAAAGTTCTAGTCCAGAAATATGAAATGCTGATTTTAACTGAATTTATACATTTGCCATTTTAATTACACTTTTGTTATTTTAATTTATTGAAATATGACTGAAAAGTGCTGAAAGTTTGTGATATCATAGTAACCTATTATATTACATCAGATTTTTTGGCTGATTTAATTGCACTGGAAGGTTCCCATATAGATTATTGCTGTGCTTAATGAAGTGTGGTGCAGAGTGTTTTTGTTGGACTCTGCACTGCTGTTGTTAAGGGAGATTGAAAATAGTTGTCAGTTCTCAATCAAAATTGCCCTCGTGTTAATAAGCACAACTGTGTGTGCAGTGTAATTGTGTTTGCTATCAGGAGTGCCTAGCAGCTTAGGTCAGAATCAATGTCAAGAAACTGACAACATTAATTGTGGAGATAATGTTTGTCAAACCATAATTAACAACCTTTAGAAACATAAAGGCAACAAATACTTCTTTTCATTTTTGGTTCTGTTGGGCTATGATTTCAAATACCCTTACACCAATGATGGTCACTTTATGTGTAAGAAGGTGAACGTGTTGATTGAATAATGAAAAGATTGATTGCATAATACCTATCTTCTTCATGGTTGGCTGGGTACTGTAACCATAGTCTGAGCATCTCTTGACCATAAATGAGTTTATCCTCACAGCACCTATTAAACATGCAGACATTATTATCCTTTTGGTGCAGCTGCTGAGCCTGAAGCAGAGAATGTAACTGGTTTGCCAAATTAAATCCAATTTTGTGAATTTAAAGATAAACTGCTGAAAAGGGCCATTGTATGCATTAAAATATCTGAGATTTACAAGACTACTATAAGTTTACTGTTTCAGGTAAAATTGTCTGTGTTCTGATAATAATTTACCTACTCTGATGTCATATGATACGTCAAAGATAACTGCCTTACTTTCAAGATTAGACACAGGAGAAGAGTTGTGGCAATGTTTTTTTACAGGAGTTACTTAGGTAAAAAGAAACTTTGACCAGCCACATACCTTATTTTTTCAGCTAGATCATGGTCTAAGCGAAACACAAACATCATCATGGCTTCCTTCTGTGCTGGAATGTGAAGCTTTTTTATTGACGCAGGTCATATCAGTCCTTGCAAACAATAATATGATCTTTACATATAACCTGAAAACCTTGCTTTTCTTGAAAAAAGTCTACAAACAGGGAATGACATCATTATATAACAACATAATGTCTTTTAGCTCTAATGCCTCATAGCAGCTTTAATAATTGTCAGTTCAGCAAAAAATTCATGCAGGACTAGAAAAAATTCTAGTTTTTTGAGATAGTTGTGAAAGCCACATTAGGTGTTCAGCCCTATTTCTGCAACTCAACTATGCAAATACAGCTCTGCAGAAGCTAGTAATTAATGCCATAAGGAGCCATAGCAGTTATAGCCCTTTACCAGGTTTGGCCTTTACCTAGATGAAGAAATTGTCAGAAGACTGGTTTTGCCTCAAGTTTCATACATATTTCTATGTGCACTATTTGATAAACAGCTTTGCAATTTGCACAGTGTTGGAGATGAAGGGGATTTTTTTCTTTCTTTTGTGTTCAGCAACAATGGGTAAGGTAAATTTCCATATGTTGTAAATTAGCGCAAACTCTCTTGTATTTACCTGAACTGCACTAATGGAGAATTTATCTCTTAGTCTCTGATAAGGAGGGAAGGGATTCTCCTTCATTTATCTTTTTTTTTAATTATTGTTATCATTAATACAGTATTTTGCATATTCGTAAAAACATGCCAACCATAGATATCATGGTGACTGGCAGGGACATAAAGCCTAATAATAGAATATGGTGGGGTTTTTTTGTTGTTTAGTTAGTTGGGTTTTTTTTTATTTTTTTGCAGAGCTAATTTAATATAATTCAACCTGGTCTTTGCTTATCATTTTTTGTTGCTTTTTTTGTTTGTTTTTTTAAAAAAATCTGCAGTTCTCCTAGTCCCAAGATATTTAAGTGAAGTGTTGCAGGAATGAATGCACAGCATGGTTCTTAAATTGAGTTGCTTTCCCTCCGTGACCCTTGTAACATGTGGCAAAATTGGCAGATTTTCCAAAACAGACCTTGTCTCTAAGGAAGTGAGTTACTTTATTGATGTTGAAATTATCAGTTGGACAGTCATTAAGTGTATGTATGAACCATAAATGTAGAATTTAAAAGCTGCTTATGAGCTACTTTACATAGTTACTCTGTGCTGATGGACTTGCCCACACTATTTTTCTCTCGTTGGTTTGCAGTTCAACACTGAATTCACAAAATGTCAAAAAGAATAAAAAGAGAATGGCAGTTCATAATTTTTCACTTGATGGCACACAATCACAACTTGTGCCACAGAATATCAGCATATCAGATTCAGTCATGTCTCTTTACGAATCAGAGGATTGAGTTAATACATGCATAGAAAAGGGTTTAAAGCTACCAGTTTTGGTGAAACCCAGATGCTCTTCATCATAATACATTTCTGTCTTTTCTGTGGTCTAGGTATAAAGCCTGTGACTTGGGAAAGGTTTTTTACTTTCCTTACTCTAAGTGTGTTTTATTTGCCATGGTTTTTGCAATTTTTTGACATCAGAGAAGTTCTTTCATACATTCCCTGTGGCGGCATGGCACATTATTTTTCTGTGCTCAGATTTGCTGTTACATTTGGTTTCAGGTACGTATTCACCAGACAAAATTAGCACAGCAGATAGTTCAAGGGTCCTTGAGTATTCTGTAAAGCTGAGCAATAGGAATTTTGCCTAACAGCTTTATCAAAGATAAAAAAAATGCAGATTTTCAGGAACATTATATTTTTACTGCATTTTTTGAAAATTGTCTTTGTTACTGCTAAGTTACGCATTAGGAGCAGGGTGAAAAATACTCATTTCATCAACTTAGGACACTCTGCATACTCTCATATTTAATGTAGGAACAAAGCAACAACAAATCGAGTTTCTTTTATAATAATGGCCATGTCATATTTTCTTGGCATTTAAAATTATTTCAGGATTTCTTCCAGTGTTACATACATGCATACTTGTAACGTGCTGAATTCTGGACTTGTGAAGTATTGCCTGTGGAAAGACCTGTTCAGCAGAGTAAGGGGTTGGACATCAGAAGTGAAGAGCAGCAACCTAGAAATGATAACTAGTACAGTGCAGGTACATAACTGTCAGAACTAAGAGAGGAAAATAAAGAAGAGCAAAGATGTTGAGAACAGAAAGGAGCTGACTGCTGGAAGTTGAAGATGAGAGCAAAAATTAATTGCTGCAGCTGCTCTAAAGCAACTACATATAACAGCTTAAAACTGAGAAAGGCTATTTAACAAACACCTGGATTTTTTATCACTTACTGGCCCTAAGTATTCACTTCATAGCATTCAAAGCAGCACTTGATCTCTAAAAATTTCTTAGCTAAGAAAGAGAATGATGTAAATATTTACAGGAATTCTTCAACATTTCTGTACTGTGGTTAGATATAATCCCATAGATTTTTATATTAAATCGTCAGAAGTCATGTTGTGTGTTGGTGTAGGTTCAAAAGTTTTTTTCACCACAAGGCTGATAAAGTAATTTTATTTATGTTTTAACAGAAATAGAAAGGAGGGTAATAATTGATTAAAATTCCTTTGCCTAATTTAAAAATGATTTCTCCATTTCTCTCTCTTCTCCTGTTGTTGCAAGAATTGGGTCTTTTTTCACTTCTTTCTGGCAGAGTAGGGTAATTTGGGGGTGAACAGGAGCTATACGTGAAACTGTGCCCAAGCATAAATCTCTCTTCCTTTACAGTCCTTTCTGTGTGGACTCTTAATACACAGTCGTTTACCTCCACCACTGCAAACTTACAAATGCTTTCTCCTAAATGTCACTGATTTTAATGGCTCAACGGTGGGAATCCTGTTTTCATGACATCCTGTGATCATAACATCAAGTCATGAATCATGATCTTATTATAGCTGATTGATGAGCTCATTTTGCAACAGAAGACAAATTGGATTTTTTATTTATAATGGTGATAAAAAATAATGTGTGATCTTGCTATTCTGATGGTATCAGATTCTGTTTTAATATAAATTTCACTAGTAAAATCTCTAAGTACTTTCCTGACCTTTTAGTTATTTTTTTTAATGCTTTTCTCTTCCAGGTGAATACTGTCGCTTGGGAAACAAAATTTTTCCTTTTTTTCTCGTTTTGAAATCTTAACATGGCTTTGTTTTTTATGTTTACTACTTCGACTAATTTTGTTAACCTTTGTGGTTGTTTCAGCACCACCAAAGTTTACAAGAACTCCGGTTGACCAGACAGGGGTTTCTGGAGGAGTCGCCTCATTCATCTGTCAAGCCACAGGAGATCCAAGACCTAAAATCGTCTGGAACAAAAAGGGAAAGAAAGTCAGCAATCAGAGATTTGAGGTATTAGGTCCATTGTTCTGTTCCTCTGAAAAACATTCATTCCAACTTCACTTCTAAACCCAATACGTGTGCTTTATTTATTATCAGTGATTAAGCAAAATAGCTATGAGTATTGAGGACAGTTTAAGTGGGAGCAGTCTTGTGAAGTTTTTATGTTGCCAACTGGTTGTGCATAGAACTGTTACATAGATAACTGCTACTGCTGGTTTCTAAAATAGCATGATGTAACTGGGCAGCCTTGATGTGCTCCTGTTCAGACTGTTAATCTTTTCCATGAAGGAGAGGGGGGAAAATTATTTGAGCAGTGATTGCTGTCTCCAGAGAACATACCACCTCCTTTCTGTCTGTATACATTGAAGAGACATAGGCTGCTACAACTTCTGCTGTCGTGGTTGCTTACCGCCTCTTGCAGAGGGAGATGGAAAGGAGAGGGTAGTTCCTGCTGCTGAAGCGGAGATGGAAAACTTGTTTGCTTTTGATTCTTTTCTTGACAGTAACCTAGGAAAGGGCTTTAGAAAGAGCTGTTTCCTCTCTCCACAGCCTTCAGTTAAAGGAAACAGTTAACGTAATCTGATCAAAGGATACTGGTTCTTTGGGGGAAATAAGACAACAAATATTACTCCCTATTTCAGTGGCACAAACAAATAATATCAAATATGGATTGATGTTTAACATGTTAACATGTCTGTTAACAGAATCACAGAATTGTCAGAGTTGGAAGGGACCTCTAGAGATCATCTAATCCAACTCCCCTGCCAAAGCAGGATTGCCTAGAGAACGTTACTCAGGACGGCATCCAGGCGGGTCTTGAAAATCTCCAGAGAAGGGGACTCCACGACCTCCCTGGGCAGCCTCTTCCAGCGCTCTGTCACCCTCACCCCAAAGAAGTTTTTCCTTATATTTGAGTGGAACTTTCTATGTTCCAGCTTGTGTCCATTGCCCCTTGTCCTGTCACTGGGAACCACTGAAAAGAGTCTGGCTCCATCCTCCCTCAAACCGCCCTTTAGATACTTATACGCATTAATAAGGTCTCCCCTCAGCCTTCTCTTCTCCAGGCTAAAGAGTCCCAGCTCTCTCAGCCTTTCCTCGTAAGGGAGGTGCTCCAATCCCTTAATCATCTTACTTGCCCTACGCTGAACTCTCTCCAGTAGTTCCCTGTCTCTCTTGAACTGGGGAGCCCAGAATTCGATGCAGTATTCCAGCTGTGGCCTCACCAGTGCAGAGTAGAGGAGAAGAATGACCTCCTTTGACCTATTGGTCACACTCAGACAAAAAAACACTCAGAAAATGGGGGAAGGCTTGTAGAATCGATACCAAAACTGGCAGTAAGAATATACAATTTTCACTGTGTCTCTTCACTGTTTTCAATGTTAAATAAGAGACTTCTCCATTAAGAAAAGAAATGTTTGGAAGATGACTAATTTGTACATAAAACAATTGTGACAAGCATCTTATGAGCGAATGATCTAAGATATACCTATTAAAATTTGACTGAATATTGAAGTCATCTGAGTTAATTTTTAGTAGTATTTGGGAAGATTGCCCTGGCTTTCAGATTAGATTTACGTCAGTGGAAAAGAATTGCTTTTCTTGTATAAACTAATTTTTATTAATTCCTTTTTTGTTCAAAAATATTTAAAAGTGTTGGAATTTGTCCATTAACCAATATAATTATTTACTTATATATTTACTGCAATGTGAGAAATTAAACCATGAATTTAAATGTGGCCTCCTAGCGCCAAGAAGTGTTTGCACTTTGTAGAGCATATGCAGTGCTGTAATTGGCTGGTGGGATTAACAGAGAAATTTTATCATAAACTCTACACAATTTATTCCCCTCTGGTCACAAAATTTTCACTTGAGGTGAGTTCTAAACAGTGAAAGATTGGGCATGGACATGTTTACTGTGTTGATTCAGTTTTATTTTGCAATATATTGTAGTTTATTTGCTTCATATATTGCTTTCTATGTACCTGTTTTCAGGGAGAATAAGCAAAAATACAACTGTTTTATTTCCATAAAAAATACTTGAATGGAACTATAAAAAATTAATTTAAAATGTTTTAAAAATGTCTTTAGTGGACTGTTGAACAAGCCGTATAGCCAAGTGAGATGGAGTGTATTTCAAAGAAATAGAAAACACTTATCAAGTATTTTATAATTTTTATTATAAGCACTGAGCAGAGTAGTTATGAAGTGTGTAGAGCCCATCAATATTTTAAGCAGCTTTCCTTCCTGTCCAAAGCAAGGCTGTTAATGATCCCTAAATAAGCAGAGAACAACAGTAAAAATGAGATTCATGGAAATGTTCCATGAGACACATGGAACATTTGGGGGAACAAGAAACGTCTGAGATTGTCAACTACACCAGTAAGATGATAATTAGTTGGATTCTTTTGCTCTTATTTCACATTGATATTTTGTATATTTCTCTGAGTTTGATTACTTAGCAATGTAAGACATGAAAATGTTTTATCTGATCACCTGTCTTCATACAAACCTAGTAAGTACAGCTCAAAAGGACCTCAGTGCACCATCTTATTTAATCCACATGCTTTCTCAGGGACGCTGGGGTTACTTTCTTTTTTTCCCCCCTCTAATAAACTTGGACAGCCTCCTACAGTGTTTTGTGAACCTAGCCATCATTTTTTTTTTTCTTATATGGAAACAGAACTTCTTTGCTGGAACTTGATGTAAATAGCAGTTGTCTTATCTGGCAATGGAGGAACAAGTGGTTTATTCCCTCTCTCTTGACAGTGGCCTGTTTATATATTTCAAGATTATTATCATTGAATGTGGAATGTTCTTACAAGCTAATTCTCACAACTGAGTGAGAATAATGGTGAGAGCCATACATTTTTTCTGAAATTAAAGGGTACAATGAGACACTCTGGGACTTCGCTATTAATCTTTCATCTTTTATTTATATTGCAAGTATATACTGTGAGTGAACATGATGGTATGAAGCTGCGGCAGGGGAGATTTAGATTAGATATTAGGAAGAATTACTTTACTGAAAGAGTGGTCAGGCACTGGAACAGCCTGCCCAGGGAGGTGGTGGAGTCACCATCCCTGGAGGTATTTAAGAAACGTGTAGACGTGGCTCTTCAGGGCATGCTCTAGTGCCCGAGATTATTGGTTTGTGGTGGGGTGTAGTGTGTGGGGTTGTGGGTGTGGGGTTTAGTTGGTAGGTGGTGGTTTTGGGATTGTTGTTTTTGTGGTGGTTGTGGTTTTGGTTTTTTTGTGGGTTTTTTTTTTTTTTTGTGGTTGGACTCGATGATCTCGGAGGTCCCTTCCAACCACTAAGATTCTGTGATTCTGTGATACAGAAGGATACTTTTTTTTTTCACAAATCAATTCAAATACTATGAATTAGAAAAATCTACTTTAAGTTACTACAAAGTCTTTCTCAAAGGAACTTAAAAGAAACAGAGAAGGGGGAAAAAGCAAGTTTAAAAAATTGCACCATTCTACTCTGAGGCATGAGGCTGGTTTTATTAAAAAATTCATACTTCAAAAAAAATAAATCTCATATGGTAGATGGAGATTGGGAGGAATTAACTGTCTGTGACATGGAGGAAAGGGGAGAACTCATCACAGGAAGAGTAAATCCATTTATGATACATATTATGGAGACACCAGAGTTGAAACTTACTCTCTGCAATATTTCCCCTACCCAGGCTGCTGCAATTGTTTTTATTAGCTATTCAGTGAGGACTACACAGCATTAAGATTTAAATAATAACAATTATTCTTTTTAAATGTAATGATTGTGATTATTTGGATCCTGTGCTTTCATTTTTTTATCTACAGATTGTTAGTCTGTATGCTTTAAGATTGTGAAATTTTCCTTTCCCTCATAAATGTCAATTTATCAAGAATTCTAGTTATTCTCTTGTTTGTGCTAAGATCAGATGGAGATTTTGTGTTCTCTAGGTATGTTTAAGACAACAGCATTACTTAAAGAACACAGGAAAGTGATACAGCCTCTGGGCTATCAAACTAATTTCTTCTCAGAAAAAACAGATTTTTATCTTATTTCCACAGAGACCTCTCCTTTTCCTAGGAGAGGAAACGAAGAAGAAACTGAGCAATTCCTACAATGAAAATGTAAAGATAGTGGGCATATTACCATAGTTCCCAACTCTGTACTTTATTTCTGCCTTACTCTCAAAAAGTATAGAGATCTAGAAGACCACTTGTGCATCAATTGGACATAAAGATGCAAACATATGTGCAGATAGGCATGTATGTAAATTGTTTTGTGCATGAATATGTAGATTATGGCCAATTATTCATTATTTTGTGAAAAAAAAAATAATGTGACTGTCCTTTCTTGATAGGTGCCTTTTACCTGATGGTGCTAGTAACTTCTATTCTTGACATATTTTTTTTTTTAAAGTAGATTAAATAGATTACTATTATTACTTAATTATTAGGAAGGCTTTTACAATGCCTGGAGTGCTGCAGTACTCACCAGTATCTGATGTGATTCTGACAGCGGAACAAGAAGGAAATAAGAATCATTCAATTATTTCTTTCTTGTATGAAAATGAATATTTCTTGTGTGCATATTATAATTTTAAAACTAAATTTCATCCTATCATTTAATGTCTTACCTGATCACATGTTTTCCAGTACATTGTTGGTTAAATTTATTTATGTTCTGTTGGTTAAATGCATATCTAAACTGAGTAGTCCTATCTTGTTCAGAAATTGCTGACCCTTTTTTTCACTTTGGAGATAAATGAATGATTGAACTGCACCTGTGAGTGGAGTGGGTATATAGGCTGCAGCAATTTAAATGAATCTAACTGACATTTGAAGGTAGAGTACTTACGCTAAGGGAATGGAGAGAACCCGGTGATTAACTTCAGGGTAAAAGAGCATTAAGTTACAGAAGCCTTTGTTACAGCCCTTGTTTTTTTTTTTTTTTCTTCTTTGGTTTTGATCCTGTCTTTTCTTGAAACTATCTTAGAGTGGCCATTGAATACTCACTGAACACCAACGTATATTACAAGGCGTTGCCACTGAAACGTTTTCCCATCCGTGTGGAATTTGTCCTGTACATGTATTTAAAAAATGAACCTGGCTTTGATGACATGAATATCAACAGGTCACTGTACACGAACAGATTAACTGAGGGATAGGCATTAGTAACAACATCTGTGACAGCTTTTGTTTCCTTCTATAGGTAATAGAGTTTGATGATGGATCTGGATCAGTTCTCAGAATACAACCACTGCGCACACCACGAGATGAAGCTATTTATGAATGTGTGGCTTCCAACAGTGTTGGTGAAATAAGTGTGTCCACAAGACTCACTGTTTTACGGGGTAAGTTCCTTCTAAACATAACTAATTTACTTCATAAAGTGCTATGTAGTTGTAAAAGAGAGGTTTCTCTCTGGGAAAGTTAAGTACAGCTCTTTTCAAATGGTCATTATTATAGCTCTGACACTGGAAAATACAAACTTTTTTACATAATACTTGAACATCCTTTTTCTGATTTTTGACCATAAAATGGGAATGTGAGTATGCGGGGTATGACAGATTAGAGTGAAGAAAGAAGTGAAACAGGAGTGCCATGCACAACAGGTTATTACATCAATTATTGATGAAAATATGCTTTATGAATGCATTTGATTTACTTTTCAGTGCTGCCCTGGGTAGCTTAGCTTCGTGTGATCAGCATTTATACAGAAATTTGCCCAACTAACAGTGACTTTGAAAAGTTGCATAAATGGTTTTTAGATGAGGTTGAACTGCCCCAAGATTTCCCCCCCAAAGATATAACACATAAAAAAGATAAGGGCTTCTTCCATTTCAAATATATGTCACCTGAATTCTATTCTTACTTCAGCAAGAGTTTTTTGAAGACAGTAAAAGAAAAAAATCCATTTTTTCAACTATCCTTCAGGGGTGAGGATATGAATGTACTGCCAAGTCTACTGTCTAGATAATACTCAGAGGAGTAAATACTAGTAGTCAAATGACCTGGATGCTTCATTCTGTCACCTGGAGATGAATGGAAACTGGAACTGAAGTCATTTCATGAAATATCACACTTTTCAGTTTGCAAGGTTGCTTTTATGATTGAAGATTACTGTCTTGTATTGTGATACTACATGGCTTACTTCATTTGCAAAATTAACTGCTAGAGGCCTGTTTTTAGAAATTGAAGATGATTAGTCAGCTTTACAGAACTTTGAAGAAAATTTGTAAAATGTATGATTTAAATAGTATATTTTTTAATCCTTCTATCCCAACAAATGTATAGTGACTAGGAGCTTTCTTTTATTTTTTTCTGAAGTTGGATTTTTAGTCAAAAAAGAAAAAGAAAAGATTTATTTCTGTACTAATGGTTAGCTATTTTAATCAGTACAGACAGTCCTGACATTATTGTTGGAGTCGGCTAACAAAACTATGTACATATATAACAAATAATAACACTAAGTGCATACACCATAGTCTGGTGTAAGCAATAAAGTAAATTCTTATCTCTAAGACCATGATTGTTACTTCTGTTGTCTTTTAAATATTCTTCCTGGTCTAGCCAATGAAAATGGGAAGACTGGTAGTTGGGTTCATGTTTAAACAGCACCATGGATCTGTTCTTACTCCCCAAGATTAAGTTTTCCCTTTATTTACTGATAGAAGCATTTTCTTTGCACAGCTTCCATGTTGTTGAAAATGAACAGAAAATGGCATTTCCATACTGCATTAAAAGTTTTGGAAATTAAAGGGAGATGGGAAAAGGAAGGGGAGAAAAGGCAAAGAACAATATGAAAACTCAGGTGGAAAAAGTATTCGTCTTCAGAATTTCTTGAAATACATTTACAAGACTCCGTGGTCTTGAAATATGAATGCATGGGTTTTGAAAGATACTGTTCTAAACCAATCAAAGGTCTCATTTGGGGTTTTTTGGAGAAGAAGCAACAGCCTCATGTCTCTACCAAGCGCCATACCAGTTGAAAATAGCAAAAGAGTTGTCTGAGTGTCAAAATGGACTGACTATAAAATGCAAGCTGTTTTTAGCTTGTTCTATTGATTATTTAATCAATTTATTGTAGAGGCATATATGACTTTGCTTCCTATTTCTTATTCAAATAGCTCAGTGCAACTTCAGAAAACACTAGCATCAGCTCCTGCTTTAAAAACCATGTACGATGATATCTATATGCAAATCCTTGATGAACAAAAAAAATTACATTATTGGTTATGAAGTTAAAACTTAAATTCAAATTTTAAATTTTAATTAAAAATTAATTGTCTAATTAAAAATATGGAAGAGTGTGTTGTTTCCAGCCAGAATACATATGGCTTTTGCAACTGCTTTGGCCTCAGGAATATATTTATGGATTTAATCTGAAACTGGGAGCATAGGAGAACTCATGAACAATACCGCAACTGTACATTTAGATAAAGGGGTAATATCAGGGAAAGCAAGGACCATGCAGATTAACAGGACATTGTAAGGAAATTTTGGCAGGATTAAAATTTTGAAGTGCTGGTAGTACAAAGACTTGCTATATTGCTTTCCAAGACAAACAATAATTCAGCGCTGAGGGCATTAGTCTGGAAGCTAAGTAATTTTACTATAAGCTGCTTCTTTGCAAACTCACACAAATCTTCATCTTGTACAGGCTGCAATAGTAGCCTTGTGGAAAAGACTCCAATTATGCCTTTGTAGAAAATAGTGCCTCTCTGCCTCACACAGCTGCTGTAGGAATAAAAATATATCATAGTTGTGAACAGGAATTAAGAGACATAACCAAAACAAATGCAAAACATAGTGGAGTGAGTTGTTTCTGTGGTCTGCTCAGGCTTTACTCATCCCTGGAGCACGTGTGTGCATCTGGATTGCAGAAGATACACACATAACTCTCATATTATTTTTAAGTCTTTCCATAATGGTGCTTTCACAAAACCAACTTGACATTTGTGCCTCTTGCAAGAGGGCACCCTGGGGAAGAAGTTTGAGTTTACCCACAATTCATCCCACAAGAACTGACACTCCAGTATGGGACACTGGTGAAATCAGGGTGTTGCCAGGAGTTGAAGCACCTACCTATATTCATTTCTGTTTGCTTGTTTATTTCATTAAATCCAGTTTAACTGCTACAAATCATTGGTGCAATACAGAACAGCCATATTTTTTGCCAATGTATTTATATTTTTAGGGCCAAACTTGTCAGTTTTTCTCTCTGTGACGGTATAGAGTAACAGTAGTTCTATGCACTACAGTTTTACCCTGTTTCATTAGATTCTGACACTATGACCAATCTGTAGCATTTGGTTCTCTAAGAACTATGAATATAAATGCAAGTCTTTCTGGGTGTTGAAACTTCATAATGTGAGGAGAAAAAAGGGCAGAAAAAGCAGCTACGGATGATAACATTTCAAGGTCTTAGCAGAAACAAAGTATTTGGGTCTTTTTTCTGTTACCAGAGTAAATCAGGAAACGTTCTAGGCTGAACTTTTACTGAATATTGTGACAGTCTGGACCAAGAATGAATGTTTGCGATAAATAAAAACTGCTTTTGATTTTCTGTATAAAAAGGAGGGGGCTGTTTTCCAGGATAGATTCACCCACAAGAAAATACTGAATTTCAAGGGAAGCAAAGCTTGTGAAAAGAAGTCTGGAAGTCTCCTTCCAGACAAGCGGAGTTGGTGCTATCTATTTTGGAGCTCATTGTTTTGAAAATTTATGCTGACAACCATACAAGTGGAACAGTGCTTTGATTCTTTAATTCAAAATTATCAGTGTTCAATAGCCAATGAAAGATGATAAAGTGCAGGATCTTCCCATACTATGCAGACTTTAGAGTTGGAATAGCTTACCTTTCGTTGTCCATTCATTTCTTGTTAAAGGCATCTAACTTTTTTTTTTGGGTCTTGCAAATGGTGGATAACTAACATTTTTCATGGCTACAGAACAAGGATTCTGGCATCATATGCAAGGATATCAATTGCTCAGGAAGAAAAAGTGAGGTGCCGTGTTCTAATAGAGAAATCAGGAACAATTCCGTACTATTAATTTTAAGGAATCCTGCTTTTCATTTTTTAATTTTTTTATTATTATTATTATTCCTTGATAAAGTTCTGCCAAGACTATAACGATCTCAGGAAGCATAGCTTCAGCTACCTCCTGAGAGGGTGTATGATTGCAGCACAGAAAAGTACAGGTTTTAAGCAAGGATGGAGAAGGTCTAGTAGAGCAGAATATTTAGGTATGTTCTTCTATCACTGCTGTTTGGTTTCTTTTTTTTGCTGTTTGGGAGGTAAAGAGAGACTACACAGGACATTTAAGCAGAAGGCAGTCTGTTTTCTCAGCCCATGATTTTCTCTATTATTGTTGATTGTATTGTGCATTATAAAAATATTGATATATAGCATCTGTCTATAAGGCACTGTATAAGAATGGAAGAATTAAAGTAAAATTTCTATGGGAAGTGCCTGTGGCAGTTGTTCTTTTTTATGCTTTTTAGAAACACTGATTTAATGTCAAGCAGACATTGCTGCATAACATAAAAAGTGGAATATATACTGAATAGTGTTTCCCTGTCCATTGATACACACAGACATTGAGATTGAAATAATTGAGAGATATTATTTTTATTAGACTTTTGGAAATGCAGAACATTTGTTTTAGAAAAAAAAAAAAAACAAAACACAAAAAGCCCAAAAACCAGAGATGATGAATCCAAGGTGGTACTAAGAGATTCAATGATAATAGAAGCTCATTTCTGTATTTTCACTGTACCCAGTAGTACTGAAATGAGAAGGAACTATTTTGAAGTAATCTGTCATCTGGGACAGCTATCTTTGAGGGCATGGAAATGAGACAAATGGAGTGGCACGGCTATAATGTTGGAAAATGTGCTGTGGGATGTGTCTCATTTTGAGACAAATCGGAGGAAGGACTGTACATATTCTGGGTATTAGCTGCACAGTAGGAGAAATTCGCTGTGTTCCAGCTGGAGCTGTATAAACGATATATACTGGTGTTTATCTGACTTAATCGTTTGGTATATAGCACAGTGATTATTGCCAGGGGGCTGCTAGTAGGACAGGCTGGACAGGCTTTTGAAAGTGGAATGAATAGAAACAAGGAAAGTAAGAAACTACCTGTGAGAGAACTTCATACACTGCATTTAACTCAAACGTGTATTGCATGAGAAGACTTCTGAAGAGCCAGAGTAGTATCTTGCCCCAAAACTTCCTGAACTGTCAGTGATCATGCTATATGGAGGTCGCACCTTCTGACCAGAATTAGCATGTTCATTACAGTCCTATTTTTATTATGCCTCTTTTTGAAGAGGAACACTGTTGTT